TTAGGAAAATAATTGTGTATGCTGACTGAATGTTATCGAGAAATGTCGAAATTAATCACAAACTACCTGTTTCGTTAGTAATGACTACTAGAACTGTTTGCATTGCCATCTAACATTTGCGGGCGGAAACTAAGTTAAGGTCCTAATATATACGTATATGTTGCAATTGGAATCGTAATTTTACTTTTGACCTGAACTTTCTCATATCTATATATTTTGAAGGTGTATATTTAATACACATGGAAACTAAAGTTCTATTTGGTGCCCCTAAATGGCAGAGAACGCCAAAAATGCCATTGGAAATTCTAAAGAGTATCTCTCGGGGAAGCTAGTGAGTTAAATAGAATCAAAAGAAATTGATACAAATTTCAGAATATCAAAGTAGATGTTAAATGGAATATTGAAGTCGAAAGTATTGAGATCAAAATTTCGATTTGATAATACACATGTACACTGAAATCCTACTTAGTGCCTCTAAAAATTATATAATTTCCTTGTTTATTTTATTTGACGTGCGCACAATGTACACTTATTTGACAAATAAGACAAATAAGACAAGTTATTTATACCAACCTAATAATTACATATATTAATATATAAAAAATTAGTTTATAAGATTGGTCGGAACAAAAGGTCGACGATGTCGACGAAAACTTGACGCAAAACCACAATAGGTTGAGCATTGTGCTGGGAGTTCATCAGCTCTCCTCGTTTTAGAAGACGACGTTTTAGATGTCTCCACCCCCGATGAGCGGTCGGAAATCACCGTGGTTTCACCCTCGTTCACCGAGACCGCATCGCCGTTAATGTAAATCGCTTCGCTGCATCTCGCGCGATATCACGCGTTCGCGTCCTCGGATAATCTCTTCCTCCATTCCAAATTATCGCGTCGATGCTCCCGAGAGCCATCGCGCCACGTCACGCAACGGCATGTAAATACGCTCATACCTGATGAGAAGGAGAGAGAGAGAGAGAAATAAGGAGAGGGAGTGGGAGGGGGAGAGAGAGAGAAGGAGATTCCCTCTCGTTCGCCGGGAGTACAAAAGCCGCCAGTGCCCCGGAGAACAAACGGAGCTGGCGAATAAATTGGTCGAGGCATCCAGGCTGACCGGTAGCGCCCGACAGCTTCTCACTTCGGGGCCTCGTCCATTTTCGACGGTCTGACGAGCCGAGGCGAAAGCCTGTCGGCCATTAATAATTGTTCGTAATAATGGGGCGGCGGGGGAGAGGGTAGAACCGCAGCGCGGCGCGCGGGGTGGGCAAGAGCGAATAGAGAAAAACGACCACGACAGACAGGTAACGAGCCTGACCAATTCGTGTTGCGTTGTTGCTGTTGCTGCTGCTGCTGCCGCTGCCGCCGTCGCTGCTGCTGCTGTTGCTGCTGTTGTCGGACGCAAGTGGGAGGTGGTGGTAGCGGTGTCGATCTTACGCGGAGGCCACCCCCGCTGCGTTCCTAATAAACCCACTTGCTAGCGAGATAATGGCTCTACAGTGACTCCACAGTTCTGACGAAGGAGAGAGACGGGACGAGGCGAGATGCGGTGAGAAAGAGGCAGAGAGGAACAGGCGGTCGTGGTGATGGTGGCGGTGGTGGTGGTGGTGATGGTGGTGGAGGAGGAGGAGGAGGAGGAGGTGGAGGGTGGTGGTGGTGGCGAAATGGAGAACACCTTCGACATCGAGACGTTGGCTGCTACCATATCAAGCGGTAAAAAGGAAGGTATCGATGGCGAGCCGAGCATTAGCAATCGGCTCGCAGTATGCTTTGTAGCGATTGCTCCTTCCAAGAAGCCGTTGTTGCTGCGAGACGGATCGCTCGCTTACGAGGCGTTATACTCCCTGACACGTCCGTTTTATTTCGCGTGTGGAAGCGAGAGGACCGCCAGTCGCGCGGAATGGGATGTTAAGTGTCACGCCGGTGTACTTACATGTGAATCGATACAACGACGCAACGATGCGGGCGATAAACGTTAGTTCTGGCTGCTATAGCCGTCACTATTTCTCGCTTCTCAACGCGCATGTATAAATATGTCGTTAGCTCTTTATCTACGTAATATAAGAATTTTGAGTCCTAATACTTCTTTCTTAATTCATTGTTTATCTGATATAGGCGAAAGTCATGTTTGCGGTCGGCGGGTGAACAAGAGAGAAACGAGAAGCGGAGTTCTATCTTTATTCAAACGCAAAAAAAATATCGAATATGTTCTTTTCTTAATGCTATCATGTTCACTACTGTTTTGTGAAGTTATGTTGTCCACTCCACGTCAAGTTATATCATGTCGTGGAAACATTATTGTTGACATTATCGCGCGAGGTCATGCACCGATGTTCTTCAATCAATAATTAAAAATCTATAGGATCATTTACAAAATGGTAGAGAACTTTTTCATCCAGTTAGACCTAATGTGTAAGCACACAATACGAGACGTAGACGTCGCTATCACAATTTATCTGACCTCATCACAACTCATCATGCGTGATCGTTCATCAATCTTCTGTAGTTAATAACCCAAAATGTTATGAGGTTGTTTATAAAATGATCGATATCTTTTATTTTTATTTTCATTTAAAAAAATTTTTTATTTACTTTAACTTAATCTACTCGTACACGAGAATTTTATACGTTCATTGTCAAACACTCTGTATACCTGTATTTATGGTCTATAGTCTATAGTTCATTAGATATTTAGTTACATATAGTATGGATTTTCAGTAAAATTTTCTTCAAAAAGGGCGTTCCTTAAAAAAAAAAAAAACGCAACCCTAATAAGACCTCGATTATAAGAATACTGTCCCAAGAGACGTAAACTCGATGCGTCTCCAGATACGTTTAACAAAACAAAAAATTATATACATGAAATTCTACTCCTATGTCGAGAGTTATCTTATTTCTGCGAGAGCGACATTTGTACAGTTCGATACGTATCGATTTCTCGTCAGAATCGCGTCATTACTCGTCTAAATGATGATCACTTTCGCGTCTCTCGCTACCGTGTCTGTACAATTAGTGCGCTTTTTGTGCAACGGATAGAAATGTAAATTAGTCGCCAACAAATAGGCGGCTATCGCGAAGCGTTGCGTCTCCTACGGAGAGTCGTTAGATCCTACTCGGATGACTCAGCGCCTTTATAAATCGACTCACACGTAGCTCTCGCTTCTTAATAGCCAATTACTTTGTGCCCTCGTATAATTAGGTCTTTTTCCGATCCTTGATTCTCGAAACCTTTAATCTTCCTTCCATCTCGGCTGATCCTTCGCGCCTTCGCGGCCCGCCCGCTAAACGAATTTGACGATAATTTGAAATTGTTGGAACGTGAGCGGTGAGCATGACGGAGGACTGCGTTAGAGCCAATTAAAAGGATTACTTTTGCAGCAAGTTCCATTTCAGTAGTTCCCTCAAAATCCCTAATTTGCCGAGTAACTCATACCGGTCGTAAAACGCTCAATTATTGACATCCCCCTTAATCACTGACACTCTAGAAAAACCTGGTTTTTCTTACGATCAGCACTGCAGTTAAACATCTTACCTGTATTCTACGATTCCGAAAAAGAAGTTCACAACTCAAATTGTGAGCAACCGCCGCTGATTGTAAGCAAAACCAAGTTTTTCTTCAAAATCTCTAATTTGCCGAATAATACTGGTCGATGCATCGTAAAACATTCAATTATTGATATCCTCCTCAATCATTGACACTCTAGAAAAACTTGGTTTTTCTTATGATCAGCGCTGTAATTAAACATCTTATCTTCATTCTACGATTCCAAAAAGGAAGTTTACAACTCAAATTGTGAACAACCGCAATTGCAAGATCACTGATCGCAAGTAAAACCAAGTTTTTTCTAGAGTGCAAGTGAGTCTAAGGAAGATGCCAATAACTGTGTAAAGTTTTACCCTACTTCCACTTTAAAGCGGCAAATGTGTCAGAGAAGCTCGAAAATTCAAGTCACGAGCATGATTGCGGTAATCCCTGATGGCAATCAGTCAATTCGCGCGATGTGTGCGATAGATCAGACAGTCATGTGGCGTCCCATGTGAGGGATCGTTTCGCTTTGCATCCCCCGTGCTGAGAATAATGCATAAGAACCGATATTTAAATCTGCTCGAGCCGAGGCGACAATAGCGGTGACATTTCTGAACAATATCGTCGCATGGCAAAATAACCAACAATGAAAGTAGCTCCGCGATCATTACGATTATTTAATCGACACTTTGTGTCGAAGAAAGAAAAAGTTCGGAAACATTGACTTTTCGCGCTAAGCTCGCGAGTAAAGTTTGACAAAATTCGAAAAAACTTGATCCAGAATACATTATCTACATGAAAAGAAAAACTTGGTTGAATTAATCAGAATTCAAGATACATCAACTAGACTGTTTAGTGAGATATGAACGAACTATATTTTTGGTTGAGAAAATCAGACAAATTTGATTAATCAACTTTAATCAAACTAAAATTGTACAACTTTAATCAAACTAAACAAAATTGTATTCACATTTCTTACTAAAAATTTTATTACTTTTTTTAGCTGAAAGTTGTCTTTCATAGTATAGTTTCAAGATGTATAATGTATAATCATTTTACTTGCGAAATTTAATTGATTTGTTGTTATATTGAATTTAGAGAACTTTTCTTTTTATCCTGATATGAATTCGAACCCAGAATTCGTGATTATAATAATTTTGTTTAGTTCAACCAATAGTCGCTGAGCAAACATGTTACGTTCATTCATGCTTTTTAGTCACAGATACTTGGATGTTACAACTAGATCAGCAATAACCAAATTCTGATCGCTGTTAGACCTAAATGTTTTGATTTAGCTACTAGAATATTTCATTATAATAACTAAAAATTCCGCTTAATTCAATTAAATATTGTTTAATCAATAACCGTTAATCACGTTAATTGAAGTTGTTTCTTCCGTGTGCATTAATTTCTTTTTTATGATTTTCGTTTTCAATGAAGAGAGTCGGAATGACGACTGAAATATTTACTTTTCGTTTTCAGATACGTTCAATGCCCTATTTTTTATCTCTTTTATGGATTTAATGAGCTTCACAATCAACATCTTGTATCAGTTTCTTATTGGTATTTTCAATCTACATTTGATTGTCTTGATAATCTACATCTGAGAGTCTTGGTAATTTATCAGTATTTTTTCGATTTAAGAAATTGGCTTGAAAAAATCGCCGAGAGGAGGCAACTTCTGAGTGACACAGGTATAAAAGAGAGAAAAAGAGGATGATTTTGTCACGGCGTAAACGAACGATGATGCGCACGGTCAGCCTAGCTCCTCGTCCGGCTTCTCGGAACACGGGAGCCAGCTCTTGTTTCGAAAAGCGTAGCGCACGGTGGAAGCGGTGGACGACGCGGCTGCTCAAGGCTGCATTCACGTTTGAATTCTCGTAGGGGGTAATTTGATGTGACGGGGACCGAGTGATCTTGCGTGGACGATAGTAGTACGATTTGTCAATCGGCCAGCAGGTAGAAAGGCTCCCTCGTTCTCCCTCCCTCTCTCTCTCTCTCTCTCTCTCTCTCTCTCTCTCTCTCGTCCTTTTTCTCTCGCACCCTTTTTCTCTCCCGCGCTCACCACGTAGCCACGAATCCTGCCAGGCTGACGATGGTATCGGTTGCCATTAGGCAACCGGACGCTCTCTATCAGAGACGCAGAACTTATTGGGAAAATTTATAGCGGAAGCTCGTGACGAACTCCTCTCTCGCGTCGCACTCCGGGAACCTTTTGTAGGGCCGCCTCTTGGCTTACGAACCGCCTTCCCGATTAGGTAATTATTTGTACTTTATGCTCGCCCCTTGACAGGACTCGGGACTTTCTCCGCCACGATCGTTGGATCGTTACACGGGTTTACGCTCGTTGACTAATACAATATGGATGCATAATTTATACCGATCAGTGAGATCGAAATAACGACGTGTTAAAAAATGAACTCATTTGCAAGCTAAGGTGTCTGTTCATTCTGTTCATTTTCACGCAAGCAGATTACAAAACTTATGCATGGTAAAAACAGTATGGTTGGTCTACATATAAATCTGATTGTGCCAACCAGATTATAATAGTAAAATACGGAATAACTAATAACGATATGGTGACGATATTTGGTTGCTCCAACCAGAGTGTGTCCGTAGTAAATGTCACCCAACCGATTTTCGGTTGCCACAACCAGATCACGTGCAATTACATTGATGTAGTTAATGTATCAAAATAACTGAGTTATATTAACCATATATATTATCATGACATAAAGATAACTAGAGTGATGCGACTATGTTACTCACAACTAAATATTTCTGGTTATGTAATATCTTATATCCTTTTCTCCGAGTGTGTTTTTTATCTATTTAATTACATTTGACATCGATCTAAGTAAAGGAAAAATTCATTAATATAGACAAATTTTTCAAATGTTTTAATGATGCAAATGGATTAACACTACTAACCATTCGGGTAGTTCTACTCGTTTAAAGATGAATTGTTGGTCAGTCTAGTTTCTCGACAGTTCCAAATAGACATGATCATCTTTTTTCTTGGATTTTACGGTATTAAGACTCGATATTAAGACATTACAATTACAAAAGTTAACCTTTATAGGAATGCTGACGTATGTCTAGTATATTTTGAATGAGTTTCAGAACACATTTGTCTTATCTAATGGGAAAGTTCTCCCAGTAGAAAAAACTCTACTGAGATTCCCATTGAACACAATGCGTTCCAAAACTCATAAAAAATAATGGACAAGTTATTTGATCAACTTGATTAGTCTATTTGACACTTCGAATCATTTTTAAACTTGTAAGTACTTACAGATATTCTTTAGTAATAAGCCTAAATGCTATCTACTTGAAACAGAACACTCTGTAAATGTAAAAACGATAAGTCAGGATACAAAGTAACAAGCGAAACGAATCAGCGAAGAACGAGGTTAACTATCAGTACGTATTAGCTAAGAACTGTTGGAAATACTTGAAGTGTACTCAACGAGAGAAGTCTTCTCATCTCATCGTTGATTAATCAGTTACTTGATTAGTCAAATAATTGATATCGGAAAGATTGTTCTGATGTATACATTATGTCTTTAGATAGCAAAAAGAACTGGTTCTTTTTCAAGTCTTAAGGGCCGATTGTTTCAACTTCTTGATAAGCTACCTAACAGTTAAATCCTGTGTCTTTGTCCAATTTGAAGAAAAAACGAAGACAGATATATGCTTTAATTGTCAGGTGGCTTACCAAGAGGTCGGAACAATCGGCCCTAAAGGTTCTTGACTTCTTATAGGTCAAACAAACTATACCTAAAGACTAGTGGAGCGCAACTCGCACAGTTAACAGTACAATAAGACGAGACTAGAGAAGCTTGCCTCGAAGCCTCGCATCGGTGGCGGATTTAATCGATTACAAATTGCTAGATTTGCGCGCGCACACTCGCAACCGGCTTTTCTTTCCCGAGACTTCCGCATTTACGGTCTTCCCATTATCCCGGCGTTGCGCGCAGCCTTATTTTTTCTGCGGATAAATTAAATCGTCCTTTTTACCCGGGACCTCGTTACATTTTAACCGTTCTCGGTTTGTGCCGCTTCTCCCGATTTCTTTGCTTCCTTCTTTTTTTGCTCTCTCTCTCTCTCTCTCTCTCTCTCTCTCTCTCTCTCTCACTCTCACTGCCGCTCGATACGCGTCGTGACATCACGGCCCCTTATATGAGCCGCATGTATCCCCTCTTACTCTTCGGCCACCGAACAAATTCCCCGCAATCAATTCTCAGCGCGCTTATCACTCCCAATTCGATATTTTATCGCCGCCGGGGCCGAACGCACGGCAAAAGTTGTTCTCGTCTCGTTGCATTCCAGCGAGTCGAGCACCAATTCATACGTGCTACGTGATAACGCAATTCGAGCGTACTCGATGATAAGACAATCATTTGTATGCCGAGCGTCGGCACGATGGTAATCGGTTTTATCTTATATGCCGGAGGGGTAGAAGGGAGGAGAGAGAACATTCCTCGACTAGGTAGGCGTATTCCGCCAACAGAGGCGCGTCTAATTGATAGCGAATACAAAGGAATGGCGGCCACTGCGTGCGTGTCGTCCGCTTCTCTTTCGTATAAACATGCTAATGGCGGTTCCCGATAATAAGTTAGTGGTCCGATAGTCACCTTATGCGCGCGGCCACGTTCTCCAGTCGTCTCAGACGCACGTGAACGCGACACGACTCCCTAAGTGAGAAAGGACAAGATGAAACGAGACACCGGGCAAAGAGGGGAGCGATGAGGAAGAGAGCGAGAGGAGGAGAAAAGGGAAGAGAAAACACGGGAGGGAGCGAGATGGTGAAATAATAAAAAAAAGGAAGAAGAGCACGAGAACGCGTACCGAGATACGGCGGAGTGGGATAAGGTAGCAGAAAAATCGACGGAGACGCGGCGAGAAAGAAGGATAGAGAGAGAGAGAGAGAAAGAGAGATCGGGACACGGAGAGAGAGAGTCGACGAAAGACAACGAGAGTAGGTGCCGTGAAGGAGAGGGAGGAAGAGGAACGACGAGGAAAGGCTCCGCTCGACCGCGAGACGGTTTATACACGGCGATGCGTCGGGAGATGTCGAGACGGAGGGACCGAAAGTGGCGGTGGTGGCAGTGGAGGTGGTGGTGATGGTGGCGGTGGCGCTGGAGGTGGTGGTGGTGGCGGCGGTGACGGTGATGGTGGGGTGGTAATAGGGTGGCGGACGGGGAACGTAGGGAGGGCTCGCGGCAGGGCAGGAGGGTGAGTGGGAGAGGGAGGGTTAGTAGCTCTTGTAACGCTATCGACCCTGTCGCTGTACATCACGTCGACACCATCCTAGTCCGCTCATTTCAGATCGCGGGAGTAGTAGGAGTCGGCTTCTGCGCCATTACTTCGGTCGCCGGCCCTACGTACACGCCGGGCATACGGACACGCGTGAGCGTGAGCTACGTACATACGCGATTTGCACGCGAGCGAGCGAGCGGGAGAGAGAGAGAGAGAGAAAGAAAGAAAGAAAGAAAGAAAGAGCGAAGGGCCGGGATGAGAAGTGGCGGAGAGGAGTGTGGACGCCGGGTCCTGAGAGCCGCGCGCTCCTTCGGAGATGCGATGCCGATTGCGCGAAATAGGACGATACTCTTGTCGGTAATACCGGCGAAATTTATGCGGCGGCCGATAGCGAAAGCTCGCGACGCTTCCTCCTGCCCGGAGCTTTCGATCGGATCGCTCTTCTCGGCCTGCTTCTGAAAGTGCGAAATCCGTGTGGATGGCGCGAGTGAGATCCAACGTGAACGTCCGGATTCGCGTGGCGTCTCTCGAAATATGCGGGATCGCGCGTGTAGAATCGCGTAAAGCAGAAGTGACGGTATTGGCGAAGATCTTGATGAGATACGCCGCGATGACAGGGCAGTGCCGCTACCGTTGCCTACGAATGTAGAGGACGAGATATACTTATTAATGCGTTAGACATCTTCAGAATCGTTCTCGTTGGTGTGACGGTTACCTGAATAGAAATAGTATCTCGCGTCACAAGGTAGTAAGTTTGTATCCAACGTTGCTAGTAGCCAATAATGTAACGCTCCCTTTTCCTAATGGTTGTATAAACATGTTAGTTGATATAGCTGGATAAAGTAAATTACACTTATGAGATAAAGAATCATATCTAATAGTCAGATACAATACTCACTTCTGTCTTTTTTAGATTTTTACGGAATAACATAACCACAATCTTGATTTACATACAAAATTAAGATACTATAGTGACAGTATAACTATATTTTTTAACAAAATATATTTGATATAAACACAAAACGTTTGTGAGACTTGCCCATATTGCCCGCGAAAGATAAATATAAAATATTGCTAACATAAAGTAGCAAATAGATTACATATTTTAGAATGAACAGCGCCATCTACACTATCATACTTAACATGTAACGATCAAATAAGGACTAAATCACAAAATTTCTATATTTCAACGAATCAGTAACGAGCTAGTAACAAATTAGAAAATTTTATTTAACCTATTTTAAAGAACTAATAACTTTTAACTCTAAAGAGTTTAAAAATTTTAAAACTTTAAAGAGTTTTTGTGTATGTTGGACATTTCTACTTAGGCACCAGTTCGCGCGCGAACGAAATGCCTCTCTCGCAGGAATTCTCATTCTCGCTTCAAAACGATGTCGCGTACAGTTTCGATTGCCGCCACGAAAAATATTCCGCGCGTATGCTTCTTGGATTCCCGACTTCTAAATGGACTTAAATAAATATCACTTCACGAGCACGTTCGTCGGTAATAATTTAAATATCGAATAGCGGATTGAAGCGGTCGGGACTTGCCGTTTAGCGTTTAGTATTAGCGGCGAAAATTTATCGCGTGGAAAATCGCACCCGATTCCGGTGCGCGCCGGCGGGAACGGTCG